TTCGTAGTTAAAAGAGTAGCCCAAGAGTTGGCGGTGGGTGGTGATGACTAGCTGCCTTCCCTCTAGTCTTACACCGCTAAATTAGGGACGATTAGCGCAGATAGCCCTCGTGTAGCTTTGCGCGAAATTCAATATAAACAATAAACAAACTGTCTGGGTAGACACACTCGTATACTTTTAACACAGGCACATCGCGCAGCGGAAACTGTGATCGCGTTTCTAATATTGAGTTACAGCGATAAACTCATTAGTACTGATCATTCATCATAAGTAACAAAACAGTGAAGAAATATCAAGAAATATTGAGTAACAAGATCGTTTAGTTACATTACCCGTGTGTGATAGCACGGTGATAAGTTGTGAAAATATGAATAACAATGACAAGTTGCTTTAAAAACTCGTGTATGGTTGTTAAGCGTAAAGCTTCACTGTGGGTTATATTGTGCCATCCACAAGGATCGAAACCCGAATTTTCGTTTTTATAAGTCCAGGAGTTTACCTTTGAGCCATGGGGGTAGGGGGTAGGTACTGCTGAAGTTATTCATTGGAGCCGTCATTTAATTTTGAAGTGATAGGGAAAGAGTCTAATCAGCAACACCCACCGCCAACTCTTGGGCTACTCTTGTCAGATAGAATAGTGGGTTTTTTTTTACCGTCACTCTTATAACGCACCCACGGTTCCGAAGTGCGCAACGCAATTTTTGTTTTGGTGTAACTGGGCGCAAACCACGAATCCGTCGAAGAAGGGGAGGGGCGAAATAAGGTTTTCGCTAAAAATTGATAGAATTATATTAAAATGAAATATATCAAAACATATGAAAATGCATTCTGCTATGACGTCAGTAGAAGTTGCCAATAGATTCGCTCGTAAGAAACAATTGAGATTCAGTTAATAGTTTACTGTCAATACTAAAACCTAGTCTTCAGTTCCAATTCACATTTAACGAGAACAGAAACTCAAAATTAACTATTTAGAATATGCCCCACGTGTATCACAGATTAACACGCGTGGTCGAAACCTACGAACGTAACACCGAGTGAGTTGATTGCACATGCGCAACGATATAAAATATTCAAACTACCATTTCGCTGATACTACAACTACAATCAGGCTTAGTTGGAGTAGATAATAGTCGATAGTATTAAATATAAGGGAACTGAATGTGATGAGAAAACATCCCTCGAGTGGAACGTGCCTGAAGGTTGTTTTATTATTGATTTTTTGTTACTAGCCTTTTCATTCAGTATGGACCATACTGCGCCCTGTCCTCCCTGCTTCTGGAGTAAAGTCAAACAGCTTATTTAATTATAAAAACTAATAATTCAGCAATTTCCACGCTCCTTTACATATGGCCAAGCCGTCTCCTCCCCCCCCCCCCAATTCGGTGACTCAGCGGTAACTTTTAAGGTTTATAACGCTAAAATTCGGGTTCCGATCCCCACTGTAGACACGCGCAGTTCCCAGACTTTAATAACACGTATTTAACTGACGGTCCATTAATGTTATGCGACGTGATCACGTAAATCCGTGGTCTTGTTTTTTTTTTTGTTTTTTTTTATTTTCAAGTATTAACACAGCTAAACATAATTACAGAGCTATGCCATTACCCTAACACGTGGGCTGAAAAAAAAATGTTTTTTAACTAATTTTTAAACACACCGTGGAAAACGAACAATAATAAAGTTTTGTTACTTAAGTATTTTCAAACTTGCGATGGAAGAAAAAGGAAATTATTCATAAATCATCTTCTTTGGAATAAACCTTAAAACATTCTGTTAAAACTGTCACTATGGAAACACGAAAGATATTTTCATACTAACTAAACTGTTATATAACACGTGTTTGCATTATTTAAAAGAATAACAACAAAATATTATTAATATATATATAACCACTTCACCAAAGATGTCTTCCTTGGTGGTCCTCTAGTGGCACAGCGGAATGTCTGCGGACTTACAACGCTACAAATCGGGTTTCGATAACCGTGGTGGGCACAGCACAGATAGCCCATTGTGTAGCTTTGTGCTTAACTTCAAACAAACAAACAAAGAAACAAACCCTACCTGAGCCTTTTCTACCCGACCTGGAGGATGGAAGCTCTGGGGCAGACACGGCGCCATCGCTGTCCTCCTGAGAGTCATAAGGCAGAGGTTCATTTTCAAAACGGACAGACTGGCGGTGCCTCCGGGTCTCCAGATCGGCGGCGCGAGCACGTGGCAGTGAATTGCTTCGGAATTGGCAGTGTCCTCTGGATGGGGGCATACGGCCTAAACTGCTTTGTCTGTACAAAACAGCGGGTTCTCTGGAGCTTGCATGGTGCACTTCGGTATCGGAACAACTTTCTGTCACTGAGCGCCGCCGTCGCCGTAGTATTCCGGCCTGTGGCGGACCTTCTCTGAGAGACCGACGTGTTCGACCCCTGGGTTGCATAGTTCTAGTCGTTTGTAAACTCGGCCGTTGATCCCTAGCAGCATATCTATCGTACACCTCCTCCTCGTGGTGTCTATCTCTTGGAATCCTCTGTTCACTCTCGGCCCTCAAAATCCTTGTTGGACGACCACTAATGGAAGCCTCATATTCCTCCCAGTACTTGCGGCGGGAAGTGCTACTCCTCTCAGGACTCTTTGCCAGAGTTTTACGAGGTGGGTGCATTCTTTTGGAAGGAGCTGGTGGAGGTGGATACCTGTGAAATGGGTGTACCTGCTCAGCTAGACTTTCTAGCATATTGGGGTATCTGGGGTGCGTTCTTGGTTGTCGCGTGACTACTGGACGCCGAGATACCTCTGGTTCCCTTCTCCAGCGCTTCTCTTCCTCTCGGACTTCATCCCGTGGTACTCTATGAAGACGAGGGCGGGAGTTATAGTAGAGACCATGGTCATCATACTGTCGCCTGTCTCGATCGTTTAACACAATTGCTACTGGCGGAACCCCTGATGGTAAGCCTTTTGTCCTGGCATGGATTAGTTGCCCATTTTCACTGTTACCGTTAACGTCTTCCACTGCTTCCTCCTCCATCTCTTTTTTCCAAACTACAACTGGCGGACGCACTTCTTCTACAAGTCTCCGTGAGGGATGACAAGGCAACCTCCCAGGAATCTTGGAGCGAATGGTTAATACGAGACGCCTTGGAATGGACATTATGATGACCACGTCATCCAGACTCATGTGTCTCACATCAACCAAGTTCACAGCTAAGATTTCATCACCTACTTTGAGTAGTCCACTGTTGTACACAGCACTTTCAAGTGCTACTCTGGAGATATATACTCCCCCTGTCCGTCGGATCCCATCGCCCTCCCGTATGTACAACCCCAACGTCTGCCCTGGCCGTTTGATGATTTCTATAAACTGAACAGTGTGGCTACTAGTAGCAGCACTCAGGTACTTTTTGCTAGCTTCGGCCCCAACTCGACCTAACCTGCGAGGGTCTAAGACCCGGATGATCATCTCCCCACGCCTCTCAACAGCCTCGATATTAGCGGCTGTTACAGCATCGAAGTCATTCTCTACCTGTTCAATCTGTCTAAAGACCTCGGTGGAGATCCCACTGACCTTCCGGAAGTCTCTCTGAACAACCATTTCCGGTATTCTGGGGCGGGACGGACCAGGTATACTTATAACCTCCTCGACCACTGAAGGCTCTCCAGCTTCTGTCTCCTAGATCACACACACACAAAAAAAAAAACTCAATTTCACGGTGCAAAAATAAGGATTTCTGAGGATTAAATGCATAACAAAGGTAATACTTCAAGAATTTAATAGTAATTAAATATGTGGATAGCTAATAATGCAACGCTTAACTATCAATAGTTTCGTATCTCCCCACCACCACCCCTTTTATCTTTGCTTGTTTCGAACTTATTTATCAATTCAAAATTATCGACAGATGGATGCAGATGCTCCTTCTGTATACAAAATTATCGACAGACGTGTGCAGATGGTCCTTGTGTATACAAAATTGTCGACAGACGTGTGCAGATGATCCTTGTGTATACAAAATTATCGACAGATGTGTGCAGATGGTCCTTGTGTACACAAAATTATCGACAGATGTGTGCAGGTGGTCCTTGTGTATACAAAATTATCGACAGATGTGTGCAGATGGTCCTTGTGTACACAAAATTATCGACAGATG